GGTTTTCTGTGTTTTGTTCTTTACTTCGTTGACTGTGCAATTTGAAATCGTTTTTATGGGACCCGCATGGAAGTATTGTAATTGTTTACTTTTTATGGCTTATCCTATTAATCAGGGTTGTTTGTTGCACTTTTGCCTTTCTTGTCTTGTTTTAATTACATGATTAATGAATAAATTCAATTCAAAACTAATCAAAAACTTAAATATAAATTAAAACTTAAAATATTGCCAAAATTGTTTGCCAATGTTCCTAAAGATAATTGTTCCTATGTTAAAGTGTACTTTATATATTGCTCTGCTGCATTTAAATTTCAAAATTATGGTATTTTATTTTTATTCTATTTTATTCTCATGTAGATCTATTATTAATGATACAATGAGAATACAATTTGAGGGTATATAAATTATATAAAAAATGAAATGCTGAAATTTTCTCATAAAATTCAATTAGAAACAAATACAATTAAATATAATGAAATCGTCAACGAAATGACATTCATGCATTTAAACTGCTGAATACAGATATCAACAAAGAGCCAGGGTAATTCTTTTTAAACTGTATACTGTATAATGTTGTTCTATATACCGGGAGATAATAGGTAAAGTGGGTTCTGAATTGGAATTTCGAGAATTTAAAATAAGTAAAATATTGTAGGCCTATATTAAAATCACTTTAGCACTTGAAGATAAAAAGTATATTAAATTCTCTGATCTATAGTTTAAACGTTTGAAAATAATATATTCAATGTCACCAAGAATGCTTTATGCAATTCAATTTGAATATAATCGTATCCGCTTTCATCACAGTGCTGTGTTACCCACTTCGCCTCCGTTATCATCTAAAGTCAAATGCAATGCAGTCAGTCTCGTGTACACTTATAATATAAGTAATATACACCTATATTATAGGGTGATGTATGCAAATTAGGCTCCCAGTGTGGATTAAGTAATGGACTTCATTTTGATTGGTTGTTGGACCTAAGCAAACTTTCCGCTTACGAACCATACACTGTAGGCCTGCCATAATTTGAAGCCATTAAGCCATTTTGTACAATATTCAATGTTAAAGAACATTTTGTAGATCAAATTTATTTAAAATGGATTCAAAATTTTGAAGCCATTTCAAACTCAGTTTTTCTTTAAGCGTAAAGAGAGCCCTAAATAATAATGCAAGTTTTCAAAAGCGCTAGCGAAGTCGCGTTATTATACTGACGTCGATCCCTAACAACGCAAATAACTTCGCTTGCGTTTTCTTAAACTGCATACGAAGTCACATCAATAGATAGATGATGATAATAATCATTACTTTAAATTCAAATTTATTATTAAAAATTTATGCAAGAATCGTTAATTTTAACAATAATTTAAACAAATGCCAAAAGAAACTTGTCTAAAATGATACGTCACTTAGGCCTCCCAAGATGGCGTCAATGGCCTCACTAAAACAGCCAATGAGCAATCCAGCTATTATAGTAGAGATCAGTGCTATTGCTATGCGAGTGCTCTATCTTGTATTTCTAGTACCGTATCTTTGGCTTTACTCTTACAAATGATCTGTCACTGATTGGTGCTGCTTTCCTTTCTTTACCTCACAGCCTGGCTTGTCCAATGCTTTTCCCCCCTTTATATTGATGATTTTCATTTCTTATATTTATAGTTTTTTAGGGTATTTTTATTGTGTTTTTTTCCCCTTTTCGGTTGCTAAATATATAGGCCTATTAACAATGTTGTGTCTCAACTCAGTTTTATACTGCAATGACGAATTTTACCAATCTGTAATTGTTGTATGAACATAAAAGATCAGAAATATTGTGACTGAGGAAAGATATAATGGTAGACGAAGTAGAGGAAGGCAAAAAACAAAATTAATAACCTAATAGACAAAAAATGGATATAAAATTATGAATTAAAACAGAAAAAACTAATAAAAAAGTGGAAGACGATGGACATGGACCTGCCAACTGGAAGTGTATAGAGGCAAATTAATATTATTTTATTGCTCTGTAACACTTTTGTTGCTTTGTTGTTTCAGACCTATATTAAACGTTATAGGGTATTGACTATTGATTCTCAGACAACAGCATTTTTACACAAATAAAGTTTGAAGTCAACAAAAAAAAATGCAGCTGATAGTTACTATGATTTAATAACAATTTCTTGTACAATAAAATTATAAAAACTATATAAACTGGAATGCTGAAAGGTGGAATGTAATTTGCATTAAAAGAGAACTAGCAAAATGATTGGGTATTTTTGATATGCCATTAATAAGAAAAATCAACCTGGTTTTTTTTTTTGGCAATATTTTTATTAAGTTAAAGGCCATTATATACTATTTTACCGTGACGTCACTGGCGAAAAAAGTAACAAAAGATCGTGTAAATAACGCCGCGTAGGGTATCTGCCGCGTACAATTCAATTCAATATAAAGTTTATTTCCACATCATCAATACAAAATACATAGACGGAGAAATACATAAGGGTAAAAAAAAACAATAATTGATAGGAATGTAAGTCCATCAGAACATTTGAATAAAGTGGAAAAGGGTCGCCACAACAAGCAAGCTTTATAACGGGCGCCCATTGATTATGAAATAAAATTAACAACTATATCACATATAAATAAAGTAACAATAGTCATTGAAAATTCTGAAGAAAAGTTAAATATGATTACATACAGCACACTTATTTATACAAAGGTTTGCATTACACTTATAGTTTTCATAGTAATGGTTATTTAAATTTCTTTTGAATTTATAAATACTATTACTGAGTCTTAATTCTACATTGATATCGTTCCAGATTTTAGGCCCTATATATGTTAAGCCCTTTTGTCCCATATTTGTGTTCTTTTTTGTTATACACAAGTTATCTTTATTTCTTGTACCATATCTGTGTACAGAGCCATAAGTCTGAAAAAAACTATTAAAGGACACTGGTACTTGTCCCATGAAGTACTTATACATAAATATTGAAATATTCTTCTTATAAATGTCATACACTGTGAGAGAATTTGTTTTGATGAATAAAGGCAAGGATATGATGGATGCTGATAATGGGTGTGCATACAATTCTTAAGGCTTTTTTTTGTAAGATATGAACACGGTTTATATTTGTAGAGTCAGTGGTACCCCATGTGGATATGCAATATGTTATAACTGGGAGAATTAACGAGTTGTATATAGTCAATAATTTTTTTTGCGGCAAAAATGTCTTGAGTCTATTTAGAGAGCCTATCATAATAGAGATTTTGTTAGCTATATAATTTACATGGTGTGCGAAAGTTAAAAATTTGTCAAGTTCTACTCCTAGAAATGTTATGAAATCTGCACATTCTATTGTATTGTTGTTTATAGATAACTTATTATTACCTATGTCAACTGGTTTATTTTTACCTCTGAAAATTATATATTTTGTCTTTGAGACATTGATAATTAGTTTATTTAGTTTGTTTAGTTTATTTATTAGTTTATTGGCTAAGAACCATGAGCGAGCTCTCTATTCATTCGTATCATCACGGTATTTGAATATGTCTGTATTTATAGACTAGAACAGTGCAGACCCAGGCGGATGGCGACTAACAGGTACGGAATCGTGCAAAATAAATACCTGTTGTACAGTACGTCTAATTTACACCTTCTACGCTGAGAGATCTGGCAAGCATGTTAACAATTATGGATGCATTTTCATTCCTTACTGCAGGAAATAACAAATTTTATATTGAGTAGTCCTATTATAGTTTTCTTTTTAAATCGAGGCACAAATTTAGTCGGGAACCGTCAACACATGTTATTGATAAATAAAAACTTGTTTCACCAATACGACATTTAGTAGTGTATGACCTTATGAATAACAGTATACATTACATGTTCCGCGTTGTTAATGTTGCTGAAAATTAGGTGAACGCAGCACAAAGGTATGTCCCTTTGTGCGCCAACTATAAATAACTTGATATGCATCAGCGGTTGTCAACAAACGAGTTACAGCATGCACGCAAAGATCGTACGCGGCGGATACCCTACGCGCCGTTATTTACACGATCTTTTGTTACTTTTTTCGCCAGTGACGTCACGGTAAAATCGTATACAATGGCCTATAACGTCATAAAAAAATTGCCAAAAAACGATTTTAAAGTTGATTCATTAATGGCATATCAAAAATCCCCTCTAGAACAAAAGAATCATTTTGCTATTTCTCTTTTAACAATCTATTTATAATGAGTAGTATAATAACAGTTTAATATATGAATAAAGTAAATAACAAACACCAATCTAAATATTCAAGAAATATTATCCTTTCTTATACTTCGCTCAACTAAGCACTTCATATTACTTGTATTAAGTGTGGTCATTGGAACAATCATACACAATAAATGTCAAACATCCTCCCAATCTTAGTCGCCATAGTTTAAATCATAAAAATGCAGGTATGCTCCATAATCTTAAGACATGTAATAGGTATACACCATATAGAGATTATTGTATTCATGAACAACAGATAATAGGTATTGGTGGTGGAGGATGGATGTTATGTCACTCAATTTGGCATAGACAGCATGGGGTACTGATGTTCCTTTATATCATGTTGTTTACGAATATGTTCTTTCAAACTTGGTCTTGGTTTAAAAAATTTGATGTTGGTGGTATTGTTGGTGTTCTTTATTACAGTGGAAGCAGTGCCGGATTAAGCATCGTCTGGCCTCAAGGCATTTTGGAAATGGCCCCCATTGTAATAATACTCTGCCACAACTCTAACAGTAGAATGTCTCCGAGTTTTCTGGCCTAATAATACTGGAAAATAGAGTGTAAATAATATTGCAGTCCAACTTTTGATGGCCCATCATTTTTGCCTGGCCCACAAGGCTTGTGCCTTATTTGCCTAATGGTTAATCCAGCACTGAGTGGAAGAACCCCTATTAATTGGACATCTTCAGGACCAAAAAAATGTGAAATGAAACATTGTAAAAAGCCTGCTAATGCAGTATTTACACGGAAGCAAAGTAAAAGACCGGTCGTAATTTGTTTATTTACGCTCTATGATAGAAATCTAACCAATAAACAACATAATTTCATATGATAATCCGTCCTATATTCAATACATGGGATATGCGCAAAAACATTACTTTCCCAAATTCCCACCTCACTTTTCCACAAAAACTTTTCATACTTTTAATTTCAATAAAGCCTACCAAAAATTACAGTAATGAGTGGGCTAAAAATTGCCTTTGACCATTACTTTGCTGATTCCATTAAAAGGTGAAGTTGCTATTCATCATAAATCCAATCACTCCACATATCATCGTGAAGGGCAGGATTGGCTCTTACATCAGGAGGAGGAAAATTTACAGGTAAAGAACCATTAGCATAAAATACTAGCCGCTGGTAAAGCTCATTGACTATATCAGGTCGAAGTTCAGACAAATCATTATACTCATATGGGTCATCTATGATGTTGAAAAGCCATAAAGTCTTGTCTTTGGGATCAGTTGGTATGGGTGCTTTTATATCAGACTCTGGTGGTGCTATCCAGCTTGAATTACCTGCAATATATAAAAACTCTGTGATATTAATACCAGTAACTGTAAAATAGAACAGTTTAGATAGATTAAGTTTTTCGGTGTTAACAGAAATGACCATTGCTTTTGTTCTGATTTTTATTTTCTTCTTCTATCCCGTTTTCCTATCTTTTTGCACAGGATTTTTCTGTCTGGCACTTTGGTCACTTTCCGTGCTTGGATCTTCTTCCAACTTTGTCCATGGAAAGACCATATAGAGATGTGCATATTGAAATATGACGTCATTCTACATATTTGAAATATTAATAAACTAGTAATTAATCTTTTATATTAATACTTTTTGCATTTCCTAAAGGGTTTCAAATTAGCTACAGCTTGGTTAAACAAAAAAGTTACAGCGAAATGCATGAACAATTTTTGCTTAAGGTTTGTATTATTGACAAATATGATCCACCTTCTTTTGGGACATGGTTCAGTCATTGTTTGTACTTGTTGGCATACAAATGTCTTTATTGCAATCATATAAAATATAGATTGAATTTACAATCAAAAATTTACAAAGTCATCAATAAAAAACATTAAAAAAACCAAGAGAATCGCAAAAACATAAAGAATTAGTTACAAAAGTCAAATACCAAATTTAAAATTTAAAGATAAAATTTATTGCACGGTTAAGCAAAAAAACACAAAGAGGACCCACATTAAAAATCCATCAAAAAAATATAACACGATTAAAAATTAACCAAAAAAAAAAAAAAATTAGATCATCTAACAAGGCTAGCAAAAGCAGAGCAACTGCAAAACAACCAAGAGTCTACCAGGGGCCTTCTATGGGGAGGCTGATGCTAGGGCCCACCCAGCCTTCCATGGTGACCACTGTGATGGAGTACAAAGACCACCGACTGAATCACCATTCATAAAATAATCCATGATTTATATGAATTGTTTAGATCTATTGGTACGCATGTGTGGTATGGAAAATGTTTTATTGTGTCTATAGGTTGTATTGGTATTCAATTGGTGGTGGGAGAAGGTGGTTCAGTCGGTGCTCATTGGATTAGTAAAATACCTCCTACTCATCTCCAGCAGTCGGTCCTGAAGGCGGTGCAGATCCAGAGCAATTTGTGCGTCTCCATAGGAGACTCCAGGTTATATGCAGCCCAGAGCTCATTTTTGTATTTTTTCGAGAGCATCTTTCTGGGTTTGAGTCAGACCAGTATACCAAAGAGGGCAAGCATACTCAATTACCGATCTTATGATAGCACAAAAGAAGTACCTTAGGGCATGTAATTCTAATCCTGCCCTACTGAGTTGCTTTAAAAAGTAAATTCTTGTATTACATTTCTTACATATATAGTCAACATGACTTTGCCAAGATAAATTATCTTTGATAATGACACCCAGAAGTTTGGTTTGGTCAACCTTTTCAATTTCAACATTGTTGATAATAAGAGCTGGAAGGTTACTTTTAAACCGTTTGCAACTTATCAACATTTCAAATGTTTTCTTTTCATTGATAACCATGCTATTAATGCAAGACCCTTCCAGCTCTTGCACTTGGGTTACTAAATGTTTTTGTCATTTATGTAGAACTGTGTAACTTTTTTCTTTTCGAATTATATTTTTATGTTTTTGCAGTTGGGTTTTGTGCATTTGGAGAGCGTGTCGTGTTAGAGGTGCTTGCACCTGTTTATACGCTCTCTCACTGGAATTTCTATTTATATATATATATATATATATATATATTTTTGTACGGTTGCCAGTGTAAAGCCGAATAAAATAAAAAATAAAATAAAAAGACCATTCATATATGTCATTACACGCTATTTGCGTATTGCTGCAATTAAGGGAGGATATTGTTTCAGAAGCTGTTGTGTCATCCATATATTTGACTAGAGGCAAGTTGATCTTAAAGCTGTTTATGAATATCAGAAACAGAACAGGTTCTAACCAAGACCCTTGTGGGATGCCACCGTTGGGAGATAGCCAGGATGATAGGTGCTTCCCTATTTTAACTTGCTGAAGACTATTACTTAAAAACGATCTAATCCAGTTCACAAGAATTTCATCCACATTTAGATCTCTAAGTATCTGTATTATGAGTTTATTATCAATCAGGTCAAAGGCCTTTTTATAGTCTAATAGAAGAACCCTGACCTCCTTTCCTTTGTCAGTTTCATTAAACCATTGGATCATAGTAGTTACTAGGGCATCAACAGTAGATAGACCTTTACAACAGCCAAATTGATTGGGATCAATCTGGTCTTCAACGCAATTCCATAATAATTTCCCTATTAAACTTTCAACAATCTTATCTGGTCCCGGGGTCCCATTACAGCAGCCATAGAAGCCTAAGAATATTATTATCTAAATTGAACAAGCATCATGTTTAATTTGAAGGGAAATGATAACTATCCGCCAGGATTTATCTTTCGTCGACGTTGTACGATCATTAACTCTTACGTGGTCTAAAAACTAAAAATACACTATCCACCACAGGGTTGGGTTCTTTAGTGTAATGGTTGAAATTTTCAACATCATCCTCGCCACTGCAGTCATAAATTGAGAATTACTGACGTCGAGTTTCATGTTTTTTTTCCTTCATAAATCTGTGATTTTTTTTTTTTGCACGTTATTTTTCAACTTTACAGCTTTCTTTTAATGTTTTTTCTTTAAAATTGCAACATCAGTTGAGCCGGATTTATCCACCTACTCTGAACTATAGGCCTAAGTCTAGTTTATTTACTTTTTCTATAACAAGAATGAAACCAGAGCCTTGCAGGCGTCATCGTTCCTATGCATGATACACGACTTTTAGAAGTATATATACATGTAATATATATATATATATATGTATATATATATATATACATATATATATGTATGTATATATATATATGTTTATGTGTGTGTATATACTTATATATAAGTGTACATTATATATAAGTATATAAGAATATAAGTGTATATATATAAGTATATATATAGGCCTATATAAGTATATATGTAAGTATATATATATAAGTATGTATATATAAATATATATACGTATATATAAGTATGTATATGTATATATATATAAGTATGTATATATATAATATAAAAGTATGTA